TTCTTCTGAAAAGAACACTCAACACAGTCAATACACATTCTCTTTTGAATGCAGCACAGTGTATTTTTTGATTGTAAAATACTGCTTGAAAACAAGTCATCTGAATAATAGTCTCAAATATAAATACACATATATACATATACACACATACATATACATATGTGTATATACACACAGATGTAACCATTAAGTTAATGTTATGTTCTGTTAAAGGAAAAGGATTTAGGAAACAATCTGACTAGCAGATTAAAACTTCTATCCAAGGAACATACTTCACTACAGTCCCACAGGTCAGAACCAGCTAGGTAAATTCCTCACACCAATAGGGCCACAGACTAGAGGAAAAAAAAAAACATTCAACTCCATGTATTTCATTTCAGATTTCAAATAACAGCACACCACAGACTAAGAATGAGGCCCATTTCACCAATGGATTTATCTTAGGGATAGTCAATTCTGCCACGAAATTATTTTTCTCCAGTCATTTACTTTTGGATATAGATTTCCAGCTGTTTACATACACCTTTACATCAATTACCTCTAACTGAAACTCATCTGAAGTCCACCTGACCACTGTGACTCCAGATGAGACATAGTAAGTCAGCAGCTACCAAACTGGTGAAAGTTTGATCTTCCACAAGTGTTTTTATACATGTAAGGCAGATTCTAAGTGAATTTAAATCACTGAAGGTAGAACAGCTCCAGCAGGTCTATGCTGGTTTATACCAGCTAAAGACCTCTAAACAGATTTATGGAGAAAGCCCCTTTGTTATTGCTTAGAATTATTTCTACATGGAACGTTTATTTCTTTCCTGAAAGCCTTTCCTTCAGTATAAGGAACCATTACTCCCTGTTAATTTTTATTTCATTTTGTCTTGAAATGAAAAGCTGACCATTTTTTATACTAGCTATGTGGTGATGAACCAAAACAACCTGTCAAATGGTTCCACATCTTTCACACTTGATTTTTTTTTTTATATATGTATATATATTTTTTTCCTTCTGACTCCACTTGGAAATCTTTAGAGCATATTTCTATAATCTCACCTAAATTTTACTTAGGTGGTAGTGTATTTATTCTACATTTAATCAGTGCCTTGTCTTCATCCATAATTTGAAAACACAAAGAATAAAACCCCTCTTTCCTAGGATAGGGACTTAGAATCTTTGAGGAGATTTATAAAGCACTTTGAGATGGTTTTGCATAAAAAAGGTGCCACTATATATTTACGTGCAATTAAAGTGGTTTAATATTCTACTCCAAATAGAAGAGGATGTTTTGTATTCTCAATATCTATTTTGCACATATAAGTTAAATATGTTCTGGAATAAACAAAACTACTCAGAGTAAAGGGATTTGAAAGTACTAGATGATCTAGGTTTTATAGCAGCTCTTCAACCAAGCAGGAGTACCTGATACCCAAAAAGAATTTTCAGAGGGTTTGGACAAATGGCACAGACGTGCAGATGTCGTGATACACTATTTTCCCATGATGGGGTGATGGGGGGGAATAAGTAATTTCAAAAAATATATTACTATGCTCCAAAAAATACTAATGATAAAATTAAGCCATTGTTCTGGTTGAACACAGACAAAATCACACAAAATAACTTTTGATCTGCTTTAAATCGCACAGAAGACTGATCACTTTTAAAGTGAGAAACAAGCATTTCTTGAACACAAGAATTGCAAAGCTTAAGTAATTCAGCAGAGCCATTCACATACATTCATGTATTATGAATGAACGCTCAGTTACAGTTTATTCCTTACACACAGAGCTTTATGCCAAGAAATTTAATGCCTTTTTTCTTTTCCTTTAAGAATTTAACAGTAGAAGTGGGAACAGTTTCTACCTTGTTAGAATGATGGGTTTAATTTGACTGCTTTGGCCATAACACTTAAGCCACAGCAGTTACGACCTTGAATTTGTTCCTCTGCAGTCATAATTTACAATTTAAAGTTTTGGATGCTGTAGGAGGGCTTGTCTGTGGAGAATGAAGAAAACAGGGTGGTTAAATTTAAAGCAATTTCTCCATCTTCTGATGCCCTTTAATATCTGTAGCACATATTTTTCCTACAAAATGCACACAGAAACACATATTTGAGTGCCAAAGCATTCTGACTCAGAAGAGAACAATTCTGACCAAGCAACTGATTATGAGAACATGAAATAGGTCTCACTAGGGTAAATAAAATACCCTGTGCTATATAAATTTTAATGGTTGAGAGTAAACATGAGGCTAACATCCAAATAAATAACTCCCAATAACTTCATTTCAAATAGTTTATGCCCAAACTCAGGGCTTCATCTGGGAGATGCTGCAACCATTCAAGCAGCTTCAGCTACTCAATACCACTATAACAATAAGGCAGCACAGAAACTGCTGCTTCCAATCATTTTCCTAATAATTTAGCTGGAATAGGGCTTCCTACTTGACTTAGAATTCAGTTTGCAGGAGCTTAGAAAACAGAATATACTACACAGCACCAGTCTGTGCAGGATGTTGGTCTGCTGGAGGATAAGAAGGCTCTTCCAGGACCTGGAAAGGCTGGATCAATGGGTCAAGCCATCTGTATGAGATTCAACAAGGCAAAGTGCCAGGATCTGCATATGGGTCACAATAACCCCAGGCAGCACTACAGGCTTGGGGAAGAGTGGTTGGAAAGCTGCCCAGTGGAAAAGGCCCTGAGATGCTGGTGAACAGCCGCTGAACACGAGCCAGCAGTGTGCCCACGTGCCCAAGAAGGCCAATGGTACCCTGGCCTGTATCAGCAATAATGTGTCCAGCAGGACCAGGGCAGTGACTGCCCCCCTGTACTTGGCACCTCGAATCCTGTGATCAGTTTTGGGCCCCTCACAACGAGAAAGACATTGAGGTGCTGGAGTGTGTCCAGAGAAGGGCAACAGAGCTGGGGAAGGGTCTGGAGCAAAAGTCTGATAACGAGTGACTGGAGGAAGGGGGGGTGTTTAGTCTGGAGAAAAGGAGGTTCACAGAGGCCTTTATTGCTTTCTACAACTACCTAAAAGGAGACTACAGTGAGGTGGGGGTTGGTCTCTTCTCCCACATAACAAGCAACAGGACAAGAGAAAATGGCAAGTTGCACCAGGGGAGGTTAAATTTGGTATCAGGAAATATTTCTTCACCAAGTGAGTGGTCAAGTGTTGGAACAGGCTGCCCAGTGAAGGAGTTAAGTCACCATCCCAGTACGTATTTAAAAGACATGTGGCACTTAGGGACATGATTAGTGATGGACTTGGCAGTGCTGGGTAATTGCTGGATTCAATGATCCTAGAGATCTTTTCCAACCGAACCAATTCTATGATTACAGTCATCCCATCATATTATTTTCAGTATAGCTCAGTCCATCTTATCTGGGAACTCTTCTAAGGCAACTTCTTCCCTTACAGTCTACAACTTGACCATGGGAAACCGTTTTTTATAAATTGACATATGGTAAGACAACTCTCCATATCCCACAATTGCACTGGAGGCTCTTGTAGAAGATACCCAGTTTGGGGAGATGACCATGAAAGAAAGATAGCTACTGAGAGTTCTTCTTGCTTACCTGAATGTTCCCCCATCCCTTGCCAAGGTATGCACAAGGTGACATGTATTAGCTAGGGATACCTTGGCAAAGACCTGATGGTACTCACCAACATGAACCAAAACAGGCTTGAGCTGCCTATTAATAAAGGTAAACACAGCCGACAGTAGAAGTAACTTAAAATCTCTTAGAGAATTACAGAAGAGCTTGCACATCAGATAAAAGTAATACTAGGGTATCATGCAGAATAATCTGGACACACGGAGCACCCAAGGAAGAATTCAGAACTGACATGCACAAAAGTCAGCTGCAGAGTTAGTACTCTACAATACCATGTCCTGATCATTACTAACACTGGTGTAAAGCTTTGAAATTTAAAGGCTATGGTAGATTTTGGATTTGTGCAGGTGAGAGCAAAATCCATCCTACTAACATTAAGTTGCATGACATTCTTCTTGTGAAGGAACAATGGACAGTGCATGCTCATGTACGCTTGGAGCTAAAAATTTAACAATCCTTTGTTAAATGCAAAACAAGTTGGGGTTTTTTTTTTCCCTATAATGTCGCAGAAAGAGTAAAGTGGGAACAGGAGTTCAGTGAATAACTAGTTTGGCAAACTCGTTGTAAAAAAGCATCAATTTAAATCTGCCCTCATGTTACTAATAAAACTGGACTTGAACCTGAGCTCTTCAGCTTGGCAGAATTTAAAATACAGATTGCAGATATATTGAGAAGACTCCTGAATGGTCTTATGACAAGTTGATTGTAGAAGTTACATATTTCCCCTCCTCTAAGGGTTCAGAAAAGGAAAGACAGCAATGATCTTAATTGTCTACTTGATAGTCAATCACTACTTCTGAGTTTTTCATATTTCATCCAAGGATAATTACAGCAAAAATTTTGGGGAGGTCATTTGCCTCTGTGTATAAAAACTCTAACAGGAATGAAAGTTCATAAGGAACTTAATATTGTAAAGCTAACAAGTCCTTATTCACAGACAAAGAAAACAAATAATGTTAGTTAACACAACTTGAGATTTGCAAGCTCAGACTTCATACTGAACTTTTATAAAGCAGGCTCCACCTTACAACAATAATCCTTGAAGACTGTTGTCATAAATAAGTATTAGAGGATCTAATCTTCTGCAAAAATTAAAAAACTTAAGTTCAAAATGTTCTTTTGTTTCGATAACCATAGTAGCAAATACACACGTTCCCAGCAGGTTATTAGAATCTGTTGCTTTTCTCAAACCACATATTGCATTTGAGTAACAAACTACTGCACTCTTAAAAGCTACCAGTGATAGGACACCAAAGAAAAGCGACTACTCGTTTAAAACACAACTGGAACTCATATGTCCATTGCATGCCACTTACATCACTGCTATTTTTTTGATGCATAAAAATATCAAGATCATTAAGTGTCAGCTATTAAAACAAGTCACTGAACAGTATTTTTCAATTTAGGACTGTGTTTAATTTCAAATAGAAAACATGCTTTTTTAAAATAAATTATTCACTAAGAGGAACCCAGAATCATGAAATCAAAGCACAAATCAAGTATTGTACATTTTTAATACTGTACATATATTATATATAGTTTTCTCATATTTTAGGCATTTATTTCTAGATTGAAAATCATTAGATTTTTTTTTTCCTTGAGAAACTGAAACCTTAAAAGCCAATATACCAGTGAAAGAAATTTGCATTATTTTAAGTAAAAAGAGACAAGTGAATACAACATATGTACAGATCTGTGGAAATCAATCTATAAACTACGTACATTAAACCAAACTGTCCCTGCATGTTTAAGTACAGATCTATTTTGGCAATGTGGAGGTATATCTTTTATCCTGTTGCAAGTCCTAACATGTAAGTAGGAAGCTTAAAATATTTGCATTCTTAATGAAAGTAGCAAATGTTAACTGAAGAGCAACTGGATTCTCAAAAAAAAAAAATTGCATTATGACAAACAAGTAGTACAGTAAAGTTAGTAAGTATTTTTAATAGCATTCACATTTTTTTAAAAAGTCTCTTAAATGAACCTGTACATCTCTTTTATTGACAGAACATAAATATAAGAAAAAGATCCCTAAAAAGACCAGAATTTTTCCCAAACATAAAGTGCCAAGATGTGTATGGTAGTAAGAAGTTTCTTTTTCTTTTTTTTTTTTTTTGCTTTTTTCTTGATTGAGCAAATAAAGGTTAACACAAAGGTTAACCACAATTTCAACTGAAATCTTTTAAAAATGTCATGTGTTCTCAAGCTTCAGCATTCAGATCTTTTAGAAGATTCAGGCTGCTCTTCTAAATTCACTTGCAGTTCATTTTGACATTCTGGTGTCTCACCTTTGACAGCTAAATGGATAACTTTTAGCCATTTCTGTTTCAGTTCCTCATTGTCAGCAGCAAAGCTGTGCACAGATTTAGACTGGGTCAGTTTGAAGCTGTGTGGGAGGTCAGCACTTCTTGGAGTGTCATCCACTGTATAGCCCAGAAGGGGAATTGTAGCCAGAGCTTTAACATCCTAAGAAAAAGAAGTTCTTGGTTAAGAACAGACAACTAATCTGCCCACTACCTCTCGTTTGCTATACAGGCTGGTGAAAACACTTGGATCTATCCTGCATTCCCAAGCTATTTGACTTCTCTTCCTCAGATGTCAGTGACAATAATTACTAAAACCTTTTCCATTTTCTCTGCACGTACCTGTGGAGCACCATACATGTAGAGCACAAGAGCTTCCTGTTTAGGTATAACACACCAAGCTTTCTGCCAGGGCTTCGACTTTTCCATGTACTGAAGAAAGCTACATATGACACTGTTTCCAGAGACTTCTGCAGATTCAATCTGGGAGATAGTACAAAGCATGAAAAGGAACAAAAACTTTCCTTAAATAAAGATTAAAAATATACAGGCCAGAAACGCAGAAATTTATCATCATTCATGTAAAATCTTGGATAGCATCTGCAAAAGAGCTTCAGGAAATACCCAAGAAAGACCATGAACGACCAGATTTATGGAGAATATATATATTAAGCATATACAATCACAACATGTATTCCCTTAACATGTGTAATCTATTCCTTTCTTCATCAGCAATTTTGGATTATAGACTTCTAGATCTCTCCAAAATTCATTTTGCCACCACAACTAGCCTTTCTCTGTATCTGAGTATCTACAACGTCTGATTTCCAAAATAACATCATGTTAAGCATTGAAGTGCCACTAATTATCCAACATGACAACCAATCTATTTTGACAGTCAAAATATTATGACGGGATCAGATCCAAACACTTTTCTAAGAATAACATAAGCATGCAAGCACTAATGCTAGAGAAAAGAAGGCACTCTGAAGACAGAGTGACATGCTACTCAGGTTAAATAGTGAACCTGAGACAATTATAAAGTACACAGTGACTATGTGTTAAAATCTCCTTGCATTGACTTTTTTTCCCCTCTCAGCAGCAGTACTGTCTAAATGCTGCAACATGGTACCAACCACTCTGTTGTCAAGAGATCCAGCTTGCAGACAAACATTTCTGAGACGCTCTGTATCTCCTTCAACTGCCTTAAAAAAGCCATCATGCCAAGAAACAGCAGTATCTCGACTCTAAGGGAAGCCAGTGGAGTTCTGCGCTCCTTACTCTGTCTTGCTGAAGAGAGTATAGTTGATCCATGTTGGCTTGACTACACTTAAGAACTGTGTATGGAATTATAATCTGTATTTTAATTTTACCTTCTTTCCTTATTGGCATTTAGCTCTAGGGTCAATTATTCTTTACTAATTCCCAATATAAATATATGTCTTGACAAAGTTAGGATGCTCTTTCTCTAGTGTATGACAGGAATTTTAAAAGGGCCTATCAAAGGGCATTTAAGAAATGTGGAAGTTAATTACAATTCTAAAATGCCTCGTTCTCCCCCGATCATAAGAGAAACATGGTTCTTTATTGTCTGCTCGAGACCTTGAATTTTTAGATGTCAAAAGCTGAGAGCAGCTCGACAACTTAAAGGTACATTGTATATACTGATCAAAACTATCTTACTCCTCAGACTCTGAAGAGCAAAATTCTCCCCCATTCTCCTCTTTTCCATCCCCAGTTCTTTCAGTCTGGGTATATGTTTTCAAGAATCACTGCAGTAGCTGTGGGGTTTGTTGCTGTGAAAGCTTTAACACAGAAGAAGAAAACTGAAGATTTATAAGGAAAGGTAATGTCTCATCACAGGAGCTGATGTAACCGAAATAAGCAAACAACCTCCACGGTCTGTAATTCCCCCTTAAAAAAAGTTGTAAGAAACAAAGCAGTATTGCAAAGGTGAATGCTGAAGGCCAAAATCTATTGGACAGGATGAGTTTGATCCACATGGTTTTTATTTCTCAAACAAAAAATAAGCCCTGCAAGAATGCTACCATTTTTCACCTACTGATGAGCCAAAATCATAGCATCCATACATATATAGTATTTTTGAATGACATACCTCCAAGATGCCTTTCTTCTTCTTTTCTTCACTGTCTGTACAACCAATTATAACATGATAACAGTCCTTACAGACTTTGTTCAATTTATTGCCATCATATTCAAGATGTGCCTTGTAATCAGAACATTTCCAGCAAACCACCTTAGAAACAAAAAAGATAACATACATATAAAATTTAAGTATTTATGAAGTTTTATGAAAATATAATTTAATTAAAGTTAGTATTATTCTACTTTGTACATTTTTAGTTATATTGAACAAGATAGATAATGCCTTTATAACATGTCAAAAATAACTTAACTGAAAATAATGATTTTACAAATTTTTGCCATTACTTCTTAACTAGAAGTGCTTTTTACTATTTACTTGGCACAAATTTTGTAGTTTGCATAAAATCACATTAGGCTTGCAATTACATCTGTAGATTAAAATTGGATATAGAATCAGAATATAGCACAAGTCATGCTGCAGGAAGAAAATCAAACAGTTTCTTTAGACGCCAATGTGAAAAGGTAGATTTACTATATGGTTTTCTATCAGAAATGAGGTTCTGTGAATGAATGAAACCTACAATTGAGATGCCCTTTTAACGATTAAAAAAATATGATAGAATCAGAAATGACTAGTTGTTTAACCTGCTAATAAATATTAACAGGTTAAAATTTATATATATATAATTTATACTTTTAGAATTGATAAGGCAATATCACACTGATTTTTCCCAATTTTTCTTTTCACTACAGATATAAAGGAAATGCAAGAAGGATTTGAGAGAAGTTCTTTCATGAGAAATATTTTTCCACAGAATTCTTTTTTCAGGTGAAAAAAGAAGCTCTGAATAAAAAATATGAGTGTGGTTATTTCAAAAAAGAGAGGTAGGCAAATGGACTTGAATCAGTCAGACACATGAAGAGAATTTTATTGTGGGCCAGGGCTTTGCAGCACTAATCTAGATCAGTACCTTCAGCTAGTAGCTCTAGGGAATACTAGTGAAGTATTCCCCATTAGTTACTGCTGGAAAGCCATTGCTGACCCAAATTAACTCCCACGAAAAAATGTTTTAAAATTAAAGTGCAAGGAGATGTGATAGAATGGCAGTAGAGAGAAGCAGTTAGGAGTCAAAACAAAAGGGGAAATAAAAAGGAAGGGTGCAGTTTTAAGATTAATGGAGTTTTAAAACAGAATGACTGGGGGGAAAAAAACCCAGAATCAATAATTCGGAGCTTCTGTAAAAGTCTCAAGTGTCCTGCAAAGCTTAAAAGCAGCGTTATGAATGCAGTAAGTCTTCATACCACATAAAAACATTAGAAAGAAATCACACAAATATTAAACCTGGGCTTGTACCACCCTCTGGTGGAGAAAGGCATAGCTGCTGGATACCAAGAGAAGGAAGTTTGTTTCCTCTTCTTTTGTTAACTTCTAAAAACTCTCAAGTCATACCACTATTTGGATATGTTACTGTAACATCCTACACGGAAAGCAGCAGCAATACTCTTTCCCCATCCTAACATTCTCGCCTTCCCTGATGCACATGTTCACACAGTTACACAGTGAACCCAGCTGGGAAGAGCTCCAAGTTAACTCAATGAATAACTGCAGGGTTTCATGGTCTTCTTGCAAAGAGAAGAGAGGATGTAGCAGAATGGAAAGAGGAGGCAGACAGTGCTGCCAGAAATAATGCTGGATTATGCCAGCTTAATATGGTCTTGAAACTGTTCATATTAGTGGAGGCCACTCAAAACTAGCAATACAGTATGTCCAGGGACTTGGGGCATTTTACACAAACATGCATCTTCCACTGCTCCAAATTACTTCCAAATTTAGTATGCCAGCTAAAGCAGACAGAGGGTCCTTTGTGCTAATGCAGAGCTGCTTCTTTCAGCTACAAGTGCAGCAACAAACTGCACAGCAATGGAACAGGCTGCCCAGACAAGGTAGGGATGCCCCATCCCTGGAAGGCTGGATGGGGCTCTGAGCAACCTGGTCTAGTAGAAGGTGTGCCTGCCCATAGCAGGGAGGTTGGAACTAGATGATTTTTAAGGTCCCTCCCAACCCAAGCTATTCTATGATAACAAGGAGTCACGGGAAGTCAAGCAGATGCTTGGAGACATTCCCAAGCCTGCTGACCAGCTACAGGCAGTAGGGCTTTGCACTCACATGTCCACATGCTCGGCAGTGGTGCCTTCTCCTTGTCAGGGCATTAAATGGCTCCTTGCACTTCATGCACATGGTCACTTCGTTGTCCCGTATCCACCTCGGTGCTCTCTTCCCAAGCTCGGCGTTCTGAAACAGGGGCAGGAGGAGGACGAGAGAATAAAAAAAAAAAAAAGCTAGTAAAAAGTTGCACAGTGCTTGAAATAGAGAAAATAATTATTCTCTTCCTCTGGAAAGGAAATGGCAAAACATAGCTCAAGATGCATTTTGAAATCTATAAAAGAAACAACAAAGGACCCAGTCAAAAATCACGATGCATCACTGAAGGGGTGCTCTGTTACGAGTTTCAAGAGAGAAAGAGGCTTGTTTATAGGATTCAGCATTATGAAGAAAAACAATTACCAACAAGATGACTACTCTGTAATTACTCTGCTATAAGAACAATGAGCTTGAACACAAAGTTTCTGCCAAACTTTTTCCACTTACTGAAGAACAAAACGGGTACTAAGAAGGTTACAAAGGAATAACAGCAACTTACAGAAACCTCAACAGGCATGTCTTCATATTCTTTAGCAATAGCATTTCTGAAAGTTTCATTCCTCTGCTGAAAAACTTCAATAGTACTCTGAAGTGCCTAAGGAAACAGTGGAGAAATTCCTCAAACATGTTAAATTAAAAACAGACTCGGCATTCTGACCAGTTCTTGATCAGCAGAGGGAAGGTACAGAGAGAAAATATGAATATTACTTTTTTGATTGCTTCAGTGAAAAAGTGGTTAGAAAATAAAGAAGGTAGATGAATTTACCTTTATCCATTCTTCTTTATCTTGTTCAGAACTAAAAGAAATATTTTGATACATTAGTCCAAGACTGGCTCAGAAAACACTTCAATATCAACAACTTCTTGCAAAAGCCAAGTAATTCTGAAGTAATTCTCAAGAATTTAAATTTAAACAATATTAATTTTTTAACTGTCAAACTTTAAAAAAACAAACCAAACCAGAAGGCAAAACCATGACCTTAGGCTTCACAAATTTGCAACCACTAAGAAGTGAATTCAAGTAATAAGTTAAATGTCAATGCATTTAAAAGTAGCAATAGTATTTTCATTGTTAGACTTTTGTAATGATTATTATTTTTTAAATCAGGATAGAGAGGAAAAGAGGACAATGCACAGCTTAGGTGTGTCTTTCTCCTCACATTTCATCACTTATAAGTTCACATACTAATACACATTTCTCCTGTGTACATCTTAAATCCCACTCCCTTCCCAAAGTGATTTCCTTAATGCTTTTTTGTTGTTGCTGTTCTCAACAGTGACAGGAATTGCATCCAATTAAACTAAAGGAATATTGTTTTAATATTGTAAACCAAACAGCAGAAATGTCCCTTTTATGCATCAGACCAGATACAGATGACTTAACAGTAGTACAGATGAGATAAACAGACAAGTCAAAGATAAGAGAGGAAGCATATCCAACCCTAATCTTGTATGAAAGCTTTGCCTTTAAATATATCAGCAGAACTTTGACATTCAAATCTTTGGAAAGGCATCTTATATCACAAGTAATAATACTATTAGAAACTACTGGCTAGTGCTAGTAAGAAAAAGTTTATCTGCAAACATTGTGTTAGAAACATGAGAACTAACACTTCAAAAGTGGCCTCCTCCTTAGATACTGTTTGAAAACAGTAATTTAAAATGTAATCCAATAGTAGTCTGAAAAGTAAATAGAAGGTTACTAATAAAAAATACCCTGAGAGTAAACTAAATATGCAATATTGTTAATGCAAGCTCATGAATTAAGGATATTAAGATATAGCATACATACAATACTCATACATTAATAAAGATTATTCTAATATATACGAGTAAGACCTTGTTTGGTACTTATTCCTTCACAATTTTGTACAGACTTAATGCCTTCCAGTAATGATCATAAAGCAAAAGATTAAAAGGTGGGCTTCTCACACCCAAAACAAACTAGTTCAATAAACTTTCAATTACTGCTAATAGAGGAAAGTTAACAAAATAAACTTCCTTCACTGTATAGTTTTTCTTCCGATTAAAACAAGCTTTACAGACAGTGCAGCAAGATGCCATCTTTCACCACTGAAATGGGTATATGGCACAACAACTTGCAAAATACTTAGCAAGATATCATACAGCAATTTACAGTGGATGTGATTGATAGGCATAAACATGTCCCAGAAGTCTTATAGACCTTAGTGGAAAGTTTTTTTTTCCTGTCATTTTTCAAAGTTTCAATTTAATTTCAAATTCAGTGCTAGTGTAGGTAAATATCTACATTAATATGTATCTGTTATCTTCGCATATTCACTGCTGTAACTCTCATTAATTTTTAAAAGGGTTTTATTTCATAAAGGACAGTCACTTGCAAGCTCATGGGTTAGCAAGCCATGGTTTGTCCCCAAATACATGGTGCCAACACAGAACTGTATCCACCATGGACATCTTCCTGCTTTTTTAACCTTCACCTCTCTGCAACAAAATCCTGACTGCTAGGAATAGGATCTTGAAGCAGGTCCAAAAGGAGAGGTAGAACACCCGACTTTATTTGAAGTGGGGCAGTCTAGACAGAAAAGATTTAGTCTAGGCAATGCAAAAAGGTAATGGGAAGGTAACTCAGCAAGAGCAGGATACAAGCACATCTTTGTAGATGCATCTCCTAATCAGAGAGATCCTTGGACTGACAATTTATGATTTTTTGGCAGGCTATTTGCAAAACAGTGATATTTTAATGACATCCACTGCATCTTTCTCCAAATCTATTAGTCCACTCTTTTGTGTGTACATATTTAATCCTCAAAAAAACTAGCTAAAACGACTGCTTACCTGGCCTGCAACTCCAGTGTTCGTTCTTTTCCAGACACTTGAAAAGTATGTGGATATTCTTCATTGTGAGTTTCTATAATTTTCATACCATCTATGCCAACTCTGGTTCGAACTGAGAACTTTGATCCTACCAGGCTGAATTTGGGAACGCAGTAGAGCAACATATTGTTAAACTGGGGAAAAAAAAAAAAACACACAGTTTTTAATTTAAAAAAACACAGATAAAGACACAGTTTGGACACTGAGAGCTGGACAGTATTGCAAAGCTAGACTTGGTGGATGAGGAAGCAGGCTCCTTCCTGATCAATTGATGCATAAGAGCTTTGGTCTTCTCATGTAACACAACTACTTTTTTCTTATTTGTTTAGAAGTAAGATTAAAGGACAGCTTCAGTGACTATAAGAATAATTGCTCTGTATATGCAGCAGTCTTCATAGCATTTATTGTCAAACTATACTCAGACTAGATATTATATACCAATGTAAAGCTTTTCTAAACAAAACCCCCATTCTTATGCCCCAACGCTGCAAAACCTACTCTAAACTGCAGAATAAGAACTCTTCAGTGTATACATTTATATTTATCCAGTTGGTTTTGTAGAAATTGTAACTACTATTATTTGAGGACATTTTTTGTCTCTTATCCAAGATAGAAGAACATTTCTTAGAGGTTTTATTCCCTGAAACCCTCCATATCACAGGGAAAAAAAAAAAAGAAGTAAGTGAGTAGGACAAAGATATATTCCTTTATTAAAAACTAGAACTTTAATAATGTTTAAATGTCTAAAGCCCCAGCCTGGAAGCACAGTTATTAAATCATATCTACAGTATTTAATTTTCTCACATTTTTCCTCTCACATTTTTCTCCAAATTAATTATTAAAAAGAAAAACTCACTTCAGTTAAATCCTATGTCATAGAATTCCTGTCTAGCCTATTGCCTAGTCTGTATCGCAGACATAGCACATTTGAACTTGTCATCTCTCATATGAAGAGAACATTATTTTAATCAGCTGTCTAGCTCCATTTGAGGTCTTACTATTCAATGATTTCTCCTTTTGTTTGAAGCACAGTTAAGCAGGAGTTGTGCCTCGATGACTCATTAACAGGCTTTATTAACCAGAAAACAGGCAATGCCAGAGGCCCATAAGCAAAAATGCATCAGCAATTTTTAATGCATGGAAAGCAATTAACTACATCAAACCTTTTCCAAGGGAATTGTAAGGGAGTATGGCTGCAGCTTGTGAGTTCCAAGACAGGACACAGGCACCTGTCGAGAGGATGACCTGCCATGCTAACAAGCTCCCAGAGGACCATGAGCATTACTGGAACCTCAACACACATCAGGACTAAAATCCTAAGCTTTTACACTTCAATTTAATGAGAATGTCAAAGTTCTAATGCTCTAGGAGCCACATTTATAATCAACAGCCACTTAAATGTTTTTCTGGAGGGACTTGGGAGATACCAGGAGAACATCATGGAGCTGCCAGGACAGCATGTGCCAAGAAGTCGGAAATAAATGAAGCCCACTGAGCATAAGCCTGTTCAGCATGGAGTCACCCTGAGATAACATTCTAAATCTGGCTATGAACTGGCAAATGAGAGCTCTGAAACCGCAGGGACTGCAGCGGGCACAGGAAAAGGAGTCTGGCAAGTGATTCATTTCAACCTCCGTGAACATTCATAGGTTGGATCCAGTGCAACACCAATCTCCCAGCACTGGAGCAAGGCAGGGTACCTCTGCAGCCATGGAGTGTACTCAGATGAGCTTGTGTCATTTGTGTCACTGTCACTTGTGTCACTGTCAGTGACAGTGACCACCATCACCTGAGTCTGTCTCCCAGCTTGATGGGCACAGCCCACAGTCACCCCATGACCCCGGGCACCACAGGCCACGTGCTCTGCAGAGCAGCACACCCACCCTAGACATCAACTAGAGAGGCCTTCCCTTTCTCTTTAGTAGTTCTTTCAAGTCTAGAAAGGTATACAGCCACTCCTGCAAACACAGGCCACTGTACTTACTAGGAAGAGATACCGTTCTTGAGCAGACGTATTGCGAGCAGCGAGTTTAAGGATCTGGCCTTCTTTTATCAGTTCATTTGAAGGGTTCACAATGTCTTCCTCTTCTCCCAGCATCTCATATATCTCTAGCAACTTCTTTAGATTCTCCTATACGGTGAAAATACAGTTATAAGACTTACTAATTGAAAGCACAGATCTTTAAGCATGTTTAAATTAAATGATAGGCGCTTGCACAAGTTTGGAGAACGTTACCTCTGAAAAACAAATATACCTGGTATGCATGGTCTGACTGATTAACTTAGTTGATAAAGTCAGATATGTTATATCCTTGGCAAGTTAAAAAATGCAGTTATACATAGACTCTGCATTATTTCTTCCCCAAACTTCTCACATATTAATGAAGTACCTACCGTGCCCACCCAATAGGTCAGAGAAACAGTAGCTACTCTTTACAAACATTATCCTTACACCGATAGAAACAGACAAAACAAAGTTAAGAGTTCAGTGCAATATCAGTTATTTGAGCCAGGGGAGGAACTAAGTGTCCCACTTTCCACTTGAGGGAATTAAGTGCAATGCCTGATTTTGCCTATCATTCTCAGGAGCTGTATAAACACATTAAGTTGGAGCAACCACTTTGATCCAGGAAAACAATTTTTGCCATTTTAGGGAAGATTTGCAATTCACACTTCCTAGCTTCACCAAATACTCAAATACAATATATTGAAAAGTGAACAGGAAAACAAAGATCATTTACCATCTTTCTAATTGCACTATTCGAGTGACTTGCTGCAGTGGATATAATTTCCAGGGATTCTAGACAGAAGAAAAGGAAAAAGTATCACCAAAAAGCTGCATTTTTACATATTTATATATTACATGGGAAACAAAAAAAGGAGTCATTCTACAAAAATATTTGTCATTTTTATGTAAATTACAAAGTACAATAAATTTCTTTAGTTTTCCATAAAAAGAAAACAAGGTAAAGTGGACAGCATAATAAAGTAAACTACCAAATAGATATTATAATCTGTAAAGACCAGAAGAGAATTATTGCAGATTACTTTAGTGCTTCAGCACTTAGTCACATTTTTTGTGACAAGAACAGTCACGGTCTCTCCCTTCTTTTCTCAAAGCAGTTCAGAATGTCAAACTGTATTTTTCATTGAAACAGCTCATTTTACAAGTGTTTACTGTAATGGTACTAACAATGAAATATAGCAAAAAAATATCTGGCTAGTGATTTTGAACAACCCACGGAAATATCTTGAGCTGTTCTAGAAATTTAAAAGTGGACTGTTCTTCTTCCCTGAAGAAGCTTAAAAATACAGTGAGGCTAACTTCACTTTTTTATAAATAACAGTTATACGTTCCAAATGTGCATAAAGCAAATCAAAATGCCAACAAAACAAAACAAAACAAAAAAAAAGCCTCCACTTCAAGCCCTGATCATCTGCAAAGCAAACAAATCAAAACTTGTGTGTTACTCCAAAACTAAGGCAAAACTTCTGTGCTCCAGAAGGAGAATACTAAAAGGCTTTATGGTTTTTACATTAATTTCAATTCAGACAGACTTTTTTCAAATAATCCTATGAATCCCCTGAAGAAATTCCATTATTCTTTTCACAGTTACTTCTTCACTTTCCTGAAGGAAGACATCTTTAGTTTACAGTATCCTCTTACTAATATCTTATTACAGCTCTTTTAATGGCCTGAAGATATTTACTTTCAGCATCTTTCCAGTCTAGAGAATCCTGAGGCAATTTCCTTAGGTAGTCCTTTAGAAGCATCTCGTAGCGTGGAATGCGTTGTACTGGTTCTAGCATGTGATGTTGCAATGTCAAATTTCCACACACTTTTTCCTTCTAAAAAATTGTAAACATATTTCAATGTAGCAGGCAAAAAATGTTATTACGATATACTAAAATAAAAGTTATGATTGATGAAACATAATGTATTTTGAAATATGCGTGACAGACCTACTGAAAGAAAATAGAACTACTTTACCGAAGCAAATAATTAGAAAGTCTTTCCTAAAAATAACTTGCAAAACTTCTCTAAGTATCCAGCAGTAAGTATACAATCCATAAATAAAAGTCTTACTAAAAAAAAATCTCCTAAACATTTTAAATGAGGTTTGTAATAACACAAACAAGAGAATTACTTCTGAATTAATAGGAAGAGTTCATGGCCAAATATTAGAAACAATCACTTAATTGGGCTACAAAGGTATATTTTACCTATCTGAGGAGGGAATGCTTCCTTTGAGTTTCATTTATAGTGCAAACTCCCTCAGCGGTGCTTTAAGATGTAAATCCATTTCCATAATCTTTGATACAATTAGATTAGGGAAAAAAAGATTACATTAAAATACACATAGTTTCCTTCCCTGGCTTACAATCACGAGACCCCATAGAGCAGTAAAATTTAAGTAGATATGCTTTCTCCTATTTCTAACTGCTCAGTCTGCAGTAGAACACATACCTGCCAATTCACAGAGACACCCACAGGGAGCACTAGAGGGTATGAAACGAACCTCTGACAAGGTCGATGCATTGCTGGACTCTCAAGCTTTCTTAACCTTTTGCGGTTCAGCATTAGTGTGAGCCAACACAATATCATGGATTCAGAGCAAGGATCTACAGTTGCACTGATAGGTCACTTATCCTGAAACATTGCTTACTTTTGGTATCTACAACAAAATGCAGCATTTTTTAGTCTTCACACGCTACAACCTTTATACTTTGCTCCTCTATTTTGCAGGAGAAAAGTCTGGATTTTTGTGGGTGGATTGTGCACACGTGAAGGAAGAAGGAGAAGAAACAGAAGGCAGCGCGAAGTTGACGAAAACAACAACCCTTAATTCTAGGGGATCTGGTATTTAATTTTCTCTTTAATCCTTTTTTCATCCACAAACCTATGTATTTTTATAAATGCTTGTATTACTTGGAGATTTACATTATTCTTCCCATTACCTGAATGTCTTGAATAATGAATTTGAATTGAGGTGACCGTTCAGTCCACGTTTTCACCAATTCCATTGCGTTATCAAAATTCTTCACATACTCTCCATACATCTTGAGGAAAGGAGCTAACTTTTGCAGAATATCTCCAATTCTAGGGGTGGTAGTCCTGCAAAGTAAGAGGGTGGAATCTCAGAGCAAACAGGAAAGAAAAAAAGTCACACAAGGTTATAAAAAGTTTCAAGTCTTTAATAGAGAATCCTTCTGTTTGGGATCACCTCACATGGAGTTCCAAAGTAACCATTAAAACTGACCTGAATTAACATAGGAAGACTGTTTGTATCATCTTTGGTGATGTATAAGCATTATAGGTCATGTAGAGCACTAGAGAAACAAAAGCTAGATATAATGAAAAACTTATGTTTATAAAACATAGCCTAATTTATTTTATTTGCAGTTTCTTAAAAGTACATTATCTTTCTTTGATTTTAACCTCTAAAATATCTAGCCTGTGGTTTTGTTTGAGGACTAAATCCATGCTGTACAGCTTCCCTTCTGTGCCTTATATAAACATATATATTTACAATTTTAAAAAAGTATTATTTCTCTAAGATAACATATGAAGTAGAGAGAATCCCTTGGATTCCAGTCTTTTGTGAGAATTTTCCCACATTTTTCCCAATTCATGATGGCATCTTCAAATAAAACGGAATAGTAAAGCAACTGATGGAGAAGCTGAGAGAAGCTGCCATCTCAATGCACACAAAGAATGTGGAGCAGCACACATACATCTCCGAGGGCTAAAATAGGAAGCACATTTCATGTCTCATTTTCAAGGACAGACTCAGAAACTCAGTATCTCTGCATTTCTCAACGTTGTTATTGTGGTCCGAAGTGAAACAATCCATATTATTTCTACAGTCTACTCCAACAAACCACTTCTCCAAGAAAAAAAGTGTGCAGAAGGGAAAAGTTACTTGAATAGTGGACATTGCAGGACTGTCAAAAACTGGTCCAGCTCCAGCTGCCTCTGAGAGGGCAGAAAGTACCTATGCAACACCTGGCAGAGGTCTGTCCTTCTGCTGAGCCTGGCAATTAGGGGACAAGACAGGCTGAAGTCACCAAGGCTCTCCACCCTCACTTAGCTTCACACATTTGTTCAACCACTCCACATGCAAGCACACAGATACACTTTCAAAGGCAAGGTAGCAATTTAAAACAACTGCCCTTTGATTCTCCTTTGATTCACTGAACCATTTCTCTGGCTTGTCAATTTATGGTAATATAGCAATGTAACTTTTAACTGAAAATAAAATACAAATCATGCCAATTCCAACAGAACTGAAGGAAATGTACATTTATTTCCGAAGGTCAAAAGAAAACGAAAAAAAACCACAAAAAAACATAGACCTTACTAATCAAGGTTTGTAGCATCTCATTTCAAAACTGGCTGCAAGAAAACTAAGGAAAACTCTCTAAAATCCACCACAGCAAAGGTGCCTACAGAACAACTGCTTCTTCTTCCAACATACAAATTAACAGACATCCAACAAAACTGAAAGTTGCAGTTTCAAAAGCAAAACAAATCATATGAGTAGGTGGTGTCTAATTGACACAGATTCCAAAACTTTGTGTTGAAAGAGTGAAATAATTTCTTCGCCACCACCATTACCCCAAGAGGCTATCATGCTGTGTCCTTATATTCTTCCCAAGTATCTGTTTTTGGTCATCCTTGGGTACAAAAGACACAAGGTATTTTATCTCGTTATTTTGTTTGATAGTCCAGTGAAAGGTACCTCTGCCCTCAGCAGTAGGGTTGGAACTAGATGATGTTTAAGGTCGGTTCCAAACCAAACCATTCTGTGATTCTATGATGTGGGATCACTGTTATGCTCTGTTATACTCTTTTTATGGGAAATATATTGCTACAAGGCTGTTTCCAGTGTTTTCAAGGCATATGTTGTAAAAGAGACTCAGTTCCAGCTGTTGCTCAACTCATTCAAAATGCAACTACCAGAGAATTTCATTTTTACCCGATAAGCTTAGATTCACACTGCCTTTTCTTCCAAGAAAGAATCTGCTCCTGATCTGCTTTCCCAGTTGCAAACCTACATATTTTTACTGTAAGTTTTCAAAACAAATCACAGCTCAAGGGAAGTGTCAGAAATTTTTATCCAGTTATTTTTGTTGGAAGTTAAAGAATAATAGAAGCACATAAACCTACTCATAGAACTTACTTAATTTTCTCTGTCTAACAAGAGGAACTGCCAAGAAAAGACTCTGTATTTGGCAGAAGCTTTTGTGCCAGACAATTTCAGACTGGTGATGGGGAGAGAAAGTTATCCCAGATTTTTCTTTCAGCAATGATCAGAAAGAGTTCTCTTCAACTGCACCCTTTTTTCTAATGCCTCCCAAAAGCATGTTTCAAGGACATTTAAACAGGCGTCTCAGGTACAGCACAAAGGTTGTTTTCAAGCAATGTGGTAAAGATAATATCCTTGTGATGAGATTTATTAGCTTTGCACCAATAGTCAAAGCTTATCTGCAAAAGCATTTTTCACCCTTTGAAGTGATATGATTATACACATAATATTAGTGAGCAATGTAGCATTTTGCAAATATGTAAAGTACTGCAACCCATCTTCTGTGCTCCATAAAGTGTCTACAGCAGAATTTGAAGACTGCATCATGAATTTAATTTCAAATATAAACAGCACTGCCATAATGTAGTGTAAGCTGTTTTTCGAACACCTAAACTCCACTGCTCATGAACGTGCACTCTGTTAAAATCCAGGCATTTGTATTTCCTATCAGATTTTTTCAATTGATTAAAAGTAAAGGTTTGGCTTACCTCACATAGTCACTCTGCAACATAAGCTGTAAGCTTTCCTATATTTCACAATGACTATATTTTATTTATTTTCTTGCATTATAGACTATACAGAGCTACCATGTGTTTGTGCATGGTAACTATTCTATTTTAAAGAATCATCACTTTAAAGGGTAATCATCTTAGAGAGTCAGAAGACATACAGTTGCTGTCTAAAGCACCAGTGTATGGTCTGAGATTTTCATATATGTCACAAAAACATTTTTAGTGTGGGTTTTTTGACAATAAAGAAGTTATATGAGAGTGTAACTAGAAATTATATATGGACAAACACTTGAATCCCTCATAATAAATTCTAAGTAAGATGGAATAAAGGAGTCAAAGAGCTGCTAAGGCAAAACAACTGGATGAAACAATATTTTAAAATGTATCCCATCTTATTACAGAAAGCAGTAATGACAAAGGTTGCTGTGCTTCAACGTTAGCATAAACCACACATGTGTTATTTATCTCAACTTTGTATTCTGTACAATGAATTCACCAGGTAGCAAAGAATTTTAGTCTGAACCCCTAATTTAGCAAGGCATTTGATCATGAGTAATCTCACTGGCTTCAGTGAGATACATGTCCTTTATTTTGAGCAAATGATTCAAGTCCTCTGCTGAGTCAGATCCTGATGAAGAGTGGAAGAGCAGCTGTTCTCCTACCCACAGTACTTCCTGGGCCTGGAGCACTTAATTATGAAGGTACCTTCCCTACCTCAACCCTGCAATAGGGTTTCTACAGACACAGTTTTAGTAGCGTATTTAACCAGTGAATTGCCTCTTACCATTCTTGCATTCTTTTTTCAAGTTCTGGAAGTAAGAATTTACTGTGGAAGGCATTTATTGACGAAATATTAGAAAATATTTTATTAATCACTTCAGGTGGAAACGAACCTCTGTTGGCTTCCTCAAGGAGTCTGGAATAGAATACCTGCAATAGAGAAAAAGAGCCCCAAACCTATCAGGCCATTATATTTGATCAATGGAAGACCACCTATCCACCCCTCCTGCTACATCTGAGGCAACATTAATATTTCAGTAATAGACAGGGAATGATGAACTCATTTATTGTCTTTCCTTCACCAGAAGGGAAAAGCTTCTCCGCCCCTTACACACCACTTTCTTTCTCGTAAGCCAGGAGAGCACTGCAGGCAGAGCAGACATAAGGGAAGCCTAACTGAAGTATACCATTTTGGATCAACTCCAGACACCCTGTCTGTTTTAACAGCTAGATCATCTCAGCTTTCCCAGTCTTCCAGTCACATTTTCCACTCTTCCTTTCTTTTCAATCAGCATGCTGTCTGATCATGATGTTTAATCACTGTTCTTATATGCTCTATCTCCTTATCCTTTTGAAATCAAAGTAGCTGGCTGACTATGAGTGATACCCTCATACTGTTTAGAGTATTATATTAGAAGGAGCCCAGTTCTATATAGTCTGCTATGTTTCTTTAAGAAAACCCATATATTCTTTCCCCATCAGTGAGCTCTGCCTGACTAGACAAAGCTACAAAATGGCTAGAGACTTGTGCATCTGTTAATATGCACATCAAAAAAAAGTAGTTATGGGGAGTTGTTGTCCCTCTATCTCCTCCTCCCATGCTTGAACAGACTGCATCTCCCTAGAAAGGGCTTCAGAAGTTTGGGTAAGGACTTGCAAAAGAGTCTGAAGACAGGAATTTTGATCACACAAACTGAGACAGTAGAAGTGTCTTAAAAGGAAAAAGCACACACTTCCACACATACTTTAAAATATGCTCAATTTGCTGCATCTCTGAGAGGACAGGTAGTTAAATTTTGACAAGCTACTTTGAAGACCATAAAGATTACACAACTTTTTAACCAAGTTTAGAAATATAACAGTCCCTTCCCAGTCTTCTGCTTTCCTCTCATTAGCAACAGTTGAGCAGCTGTGTTTGAAACTCATTTTTCAGAACTCCATCCAGTTAATATTTGGAAAGCAGGCATAGGAGTAAGGCACTTATGAAAGCATCAAGGGAAATAATTGTACATTACCCATCAGAAAAATCTGTGAACAAAGTAAACACTATTCGTTTTTGGTTTTAGACTTCTCTAAATCAAAGATTTTTTTTTCTCCAATACTTTGGCTTTTAAAAGTTGCCATATATCCATCATAATGTGGATCTGCTATGTAAATCCACTTTCATAAAAACAATTACTTAGATCCCTAAGCAGCCTGAACAATTATTGTACAAGTTGAGGCTTTTTGCTTTTCATCAACTGCTTGTACAAGGCCTATGCACTGGACCTGAGAAATTTAAGCAGTGGTTTCTGTGAAAAATATCATGGAGTAAGACAATGCAAAGCTGGAGGTATCCAGGTAAAATGTATATGTGTTTTGTTTATGCGAGCAAGTAAACAAGACTTGGAAAGAAAAACACTCAAGAACTAAAGACTTTAGCATTTAAGAAAGATCAGTTAGATTCTACAAAGCATAAGAGTCCAGCCCTTTCCTTGCAGGGAGAGTAATTTCTGTTCATTCAGTATGACTTACTCAAAACATATAGTAGAAAAAGAGAGGATGTACCATTTGGAATGGATCAACTTATGTTCTTTAGCACTAAAGAAAAATTCTGATAGGGTGGTTGAAATTAGAAGGATTTAGTAATTTTCCAGTGAGTGGGTGATTTCAGCAGTATAAAATTATACTCCTCCAAATCATAATAAACCAAGACATGGTTATCCATCCTCTTTTTGGAAGGGCTATCAGCATGTAATACTATTGCTTATAGTGACATCTACACACAGAGAACATTTTGCATTAATATCCAGAAAATTCTAATCCTTTTTAAAAATGTAGTGTTCTTAAAATAGAAGCATAGGCAAAGTCATGTGGCAAGAGCAAATAACTGACTGGAAAATCAGCAAAATGTGAAAAACATACCACATCTTACGTCATTTATATCTACACTTATGCATTGCCATTTGAGTGAATTCAAAGCAACACAATAAAAGCAAATTCAAGAAAAATGTACCCCATCTAGGAGGTCAAGTCGGCTAACGTAGGCTTTTTCTGTTTGCAGAAGCTCACTGGCAATTTTGTGACGTTTCTGTTCATCTGTCTCCTGCAAGAAAATAAGAGCAGCTCTTAGGGATATTTAAGAAAAACATAATTTAAATACTAAAAAAAATTGAAAAGACTTATGATTACCTCACAGTTCAAAAAAAACCTGAAATGCAAGTTTCATGTTCAGTTGTGAAGTAGACACCAATTTTGAAAAACACACACTTTCCAGCAGTTTAATCAACCAATACAAATGTCAGAGAATGATAAAAATCGTGGAGCAAAATTCAAAACCTAAAAGATTTAGTATTTCCCAGTTTGTATAGGGATCTTTGCCAAAGCACCAACTCCCTACTTAACAGATCAGCTCATATCCTGGTAATCGAGTACCACTGACCTTTCAGAGCTGGAAGAACTGATTTGCAGAGTGAGAGGGAACAGATGGGAGTACTCAGTGTTCGCCTCCACCCCCATTTCAAAAGTTGTTTGAACTGTATGTTCTTTGCACAACAAAATTATTGAAAAATACCATACAGAATGTTTTATGTTCATCAATACACTCATTGCTGAATAAGTGTTGACTGCAATTAGAGGGCTCCTTCATTAAGTCTTTACAGAAGCCATTTTAGCATCTTAAGGGAAGTCTTCATTTTAAAGCCTTTGATTCTACGATTCTACAAAACATATTTCTGATTCTTTTGCTGAACAGAAACTTAAAACATTCATTCAAATTTCAATATTAAACTAAATATGTTAGAATGTATAATTATAAGTTGCTAGGCAAAATTACTTCAAAACAAACAGTGAAAGCACAGGCTTCTACAACATTAAAGCATTAGGGAAATGCCTCAAGCCTGCAAGCGTCAGATTCAACAAAATGACACTTCCACTACAATATTCTTTCTCCAGATCTCATGCCAGTCTGTTCACATTTAACAATGCCCAAGTTTTTCCTAAGTAAATGACAGTCTTATCAAAGTGCTTTTGGGAAAGTGGTGATTTCTAGGCAAACCACAGAAAGTCTTCATAAGAAAATTAAAGAGGAGAGCGAAAGAGTGATTTCTGATTTCAAACTGCACACTGCTTTCCACAAGGGTGTGATAAACATTTGCAAGTACATTGATAAAGACAGTTTGTGGAATACTGAATAATAAGGTACAATCTTACATTTCAGGGACTCCAGTGGCTATTTTCCTCTTTTCAGTATTCTATAAATATTCCAAATTTCAACACAGTTCAGTTCTAATCTGCAGTGTTAATGGTCATGCTGCTGCACGGCAAACCTCCTTCCTAAACACAGGCTTTCGATAGTGACTTCAAAGCTGTTCATTAAATCTGTTTAAATCAGCATAGCAACCACAGTAACCTACAGAACAGCATTTTAAGTGCTGTCAAGAGACGTTGCAGGGAGCTGGAGGATTAGCTATTACAGCTACAGCTTGCTGTTTAGTGCAGCCCTTTACAAAGGATTTCACATGCGGACTTGAGGCACAAAACCACGGAGGCTACTGGTTCCTCGACAATTTAAATTTCTTTTTCTCACCCTGGAACCCCACTGTCTCCCTAAGCACTGCTACAGAACCCATCCAGAGTTTTCAGAAGAACTTGAACTAACTAAAAGAGGGGAAAATCATGCATAACAGACACAAAAATACCACATAAAAAGAGCTGACCCCAGCTTTCCAATCCTCTCAGTATCAACCTTACATGTCTTTCTAATTCTTGAATCTCAGCCTCCTTTCTACAATTGCACTACCTGGTACAGAGATCTTCTGTGCGGGGAAAACTGCACGCCACGGATGAGTTATCTTTTAATCACAGTGGCATGTTCTTATTCCCGAACAAAAACACCCACCTACAGGGTTAGATCAGTGCAAAAATACCACAAAACCGTACTACTTTTCTTTTAAGAAGTTCTCAGGGTGGGGGGTGGGAAGGCAACTTCTCAATTATTTCAGGGAACATTTCAAACTTCTGTGACAATCTGTAACACACGGCAACTCAACATATAAAACCAAGCAGAAATGGTTAGTGTGCTGTACAGAGGTACATGATTTCAACTGCTGATATGAGAAGCATAAAATAGCAACAGGTTCATGAGGAGGAACTGCAAACTTGCACCTCTATACAGATGCTTACAGTAAATATTTCAGCTGGGTCTAGTTAGACATTCTTTAGTAGAAAGCTGCACATCAGAATCATTACATTACTGTGGATGCTCAAGAAATTAAATCAAGTAATTTTTAACTCTGAAATAAAGAAGAGGTATGAAAAGTGCTGCTGAAAGTATGAACTTTTTGTTCTCATTTCCTAATATTGTTTTTCAATTGTCCTGAACTTGAAAAAAATGTTGCTGATTTAAAGCAGCTTTTATGTAAGCTGTGCAAGTTTGGAGTTGGCTTCCTGCCAAATCTCCGAAACTCAACAACAGGGTCTCCTTCCCATAACTTAACATCCAAAGAGGAGCCATCTTCTGTCAAGAAAACTATACCTGCCAGCATGACAGTGATGCTGTATATGATTCACTCTTATTCAGGCACAGACCTTGCCCCAAGGGCTTTGATGGACTATATTAAGCAACATAGACAGGGTGAGAGATGTAAAGCATGAATAAATATAATTTAATTTAGATTGTGCTTGTTTCTTGCTTGCTTCTTGCAACCAACCAACTTGCTTCAACCAACAAAGCAGTAAAGATCCTGGTATCTACTCACAAGAAGATTTATGCATTTATATTGGGCATTGAAGCTATGGAGCTTTGTCCAAATCACTGTTGCTAAAGAAGACCAAAAAAAATTGTAGAATCAAGAAGTTGGTAGAACCTCTCAAGTGTTTCAACAGTAAAACATTTCTTGGCAGAAAGTTAACTTTGCAAGAAAAATTTCACCCTATTTAAATCAAAACTTCACCTTACATTTAGAAATATAGGATCTCCACCAGGTTTTGCATCCGAAACATCAGAGCCACCAGCACTGCCATTAAAAGAAGACATCACATGAGGACTTTGTTAAGGATGCACAGTGGATTCTTTTCCATCTGTGGCATGCAGGCAGTCTATATGCCCATTTCCTACCAGTCTCACAACAAACACTGAAACATTTGTCCTCTTGTCTTCACTTAGCACTGGCAGCAGATTTCCCACATGTTATTCAAGGAAGTTAACTGATGGGATGTTCTTGTACTATTCAGCCTCCGCAGTTTAGACAAATCAAAGTTTATGACAGGAGATGTTTCTGCTGCAAGGCAGGAAACTTTTCACTTTTAATTTTCTCTTTTTTTATTATGCTTCTGTTTCATTACTTTCAAGCTAATTCAGCAAATAAGAGAAATAAAGCATGCACTACTCTGGTCATTTGGGGAAGACATTTCAGATCACTGTCAACTTTACTAAGTCTTGCTCAACTTTTCCAGAACCTGCAATAATCTGTCTTTAATCAGATCTACAGTGATAAGAGGGAGAAAAACAATTGTAAGAACAACACTATTTCAAAATAAGTCTTCTTTTCCAAGTCTGAAAAGTAATCTCTGCTCTGGTTTTGCACCATTTCCCGATTTGATTCACCCCTTCTAGCAGTGGACTTCAGATTACTTCTGCTGTACATATACTTATTTACAAAGAGAAAGCACCACTCTCTTCTCTTCCCTGAATTAAGAAATATGGCATGCAAGAGACAAGATACTTTGCATCAGTACCAAAATACATATATCAGATGTATAATTTAAAGTTTGACTATGATACACGTGCATCTGCTCCTTTCGCTTTTACTCAATTGGACCTACACTTTCTTAATTAAAAAAGGCAGAAGACTGCTGTTAGCCTGTGCAGTGCAACTTCAACTGGACTGCATCCCAGTTTTAATATTCTATAATGACTAAGTGGGCTCTTAGCAAAATCACAGATTGTCTAATGCTCTTACTTCTTACCAATGCCTGCTTGGATGCAGAAACAGCTTAAAGCTCCACCAGAATTCTCTTGCTCATCACCCTTTCCCTATTCCAGACAGCATGGCAGCAGCTACTTAGGTCACCACAGGGCTGATTTCCATCTATAGGCTGCATTAATCCAAACTAAATCAGTGTTTGATTCTGGAGAGGGTGGCCCTTAGGTCGTTCTGTGGCAGACAGGCTTCTTAACCTCACTAGACTAAAGGGGATGTCCTTGTTGCACAAGTAAGCTGGCATTTCAGGAAGCACTGTTGTGACCCAGTTCGATTATATAGATTCAGTTCTACACCAGTGCAGACTCAAAAGTCATCCTGCATGGGTTTGGCTTGTTCTGTTTTTTTACCCTTCAAGCACCAGTGAACAATACATCTAGTAACAGTTGCATTACACTTCACAAGTTGACTTTGTCAATACAAGACAGATCACGTGTTGGTTCCAGCAGCTCAAAGACAGATTTTAATGAGATTTCTGCCATCAGCATTTGCCCAGTTCCTTCCTTAACTTTACAACAGAACTGCTTCTCATTTCAGCTTTTTCCTGAAAATGCTGCCAGCATCTCACCGCATGACTTGGATTCAAGTTTAACAGTGTTGCCCACTGAGAATTCAGCACTTTATGGGCACAGAGAGGGGAAACAGGCACTACCGAACAGGAGATAGAAACATAATGAGAGGTGTGGCAGGCTAAAGGTGCCTTGGACCATGACCAGGCTTATGCTTAGATGGGAATCATAGCATTCATTCATTACAGGAAAAAAACCGACCTTTAAAACAAACAAGAAAACCCGCACAACCCAGCACCTTCTTGTCATTGCCGAGGATATTTCATCCTAAAATGCATGAGAATTTGAGACCCACCTTTCCCACTCACAGAATTTGCCTTCAAGCATGTATGTATGTGACCCTTAGCTAACCAAAGTCAAGGGCTTGGAGAGGTGTGTAGTTAACTGATGCAGGTGTACTCCCGACAGCAGTGAGGAGCTTTATCAGCACTCAGCTGTTTGGCTCTGTGGTGAAGAGGAAGACCAGGAGGGTCTGCCAAGCTCCCCCTCCCATGAGTCACACAGGGCACAGCTGGACCAGAGCTGTTAATCACATTCACTGCTTCAGTACAAGAAGGAAAACTGCATAAGCAAACTTTTATAAGTGGAAATATGCACAATTTTTCAGCAAATTATTTCCCAAGACAGATTTTTCTTCCACCCACTTACTGCTCTAAAGTATTTAAAACCTTCCTTACAAGGAAGTTCAAATTCATCAAATATAAGTTCTCCTTGGTATATATTTAGTATACTCTGAACATTGCATCTAGCTGATAGCTAGAAGACTGCCACTGCCTTTCAAGCTTTGACTTGACAACTACATCCAAATCATGGATTCACACAACAGTCCTGCCTGAAGCTCCGTCATTGCAGTTTACTACATGTGAAATTTTATTTTATATACGCCCCTAACATGTCTCCCTCATAGTCTGGCACAGTTGAAGCATAGGGTCAAACATGTCCACATATTTCAGTTTCACTTGTTTTTTAAACTTTAGATAGCTAACAAGGAAAGAGCAAAGGAGGGCAGGAGGTGGGGAAGAGGCCAGCAAAACTTTTTTTCCCATCTTTTTTTTCAGAGGAAAAATAACCAAAAGAGTTTCAACTTTCTGATCTGCTCTTGAAAGCCTCATTTTGTAAATAAAAACCAAGAGAAAATACACAAAGTAATGATATGTCAGGAATGAAACAATTTCTCTTTTTACCTTTGTTTCTACAGGTTGATCTTGTTTACTGATTTCCTCAGCTGGTTCTTCCTTCACATTACTATTAATTTCTGGAGTTTCATTTTCAGATGGGAGCAGTGTATCACTACTTGGAGTTCTGTAGTAGCTGTTAAGCATCTGTTCTTCACAGGTAGTCATACTTTGTAATGACTCCCTGCAAGTACTTTCTCCTTCCCCATTTATCAAGCTGCTGTCAATGACATCATCTGGAACTGGAGTGGACACATCAGAGCCACGATCTGATAATCTCCTGTCCTCATCCTCTGGCTGGTCTTGTGCTACTACTCCGTTGGCTGTGTGTAGCTGTGCAACCTGAGTTTTGTCAGTATTGTTGTTTCCCTGTTTTTGTAGTGAGTGCTGGGAGGGGAGTTTGGGCTGAGGTGATGGTGTTGACCCATATCTTCCTTGAGATTTAGTAAGGTGGAGAACAGAGGAATCTTTCTTCAAATCACTAGGATTCAACGAGCTAAAAACACCAAACAAAAAAGCATCAATGAGAGAAGAGTTAAACGTGGACTTATAAAACATCCTGGTACGGTAAGTGGGAGAGTTGCACCATATAACCAATTCCTCCCAAATAGTTTTTTTTTTTTTCCTGTGTTAATATTAGGAAGTTCAGACCACTGAAACCTGGAATGCATTGAACGACACACAAACATGCATCTCTTACTAGAAACCCAGGGTGCCGTTCATACCGATCCATTGCATCCTCATGTGTCTTGAATCTCATTTGTAGGGGAGATTTAGATTGGAAATTAGGAAAAATTTCTCCATTGAAAATGTTGTCAGGCATTGGAACAGGCTGCCCAGGGAAGACTTTGAGTCACCATCCCTGGAGGTATTTAAAAGACATGTAAATGTGGCACTCAAGGATGTGGTTTAGTGGTGGGCTTGGCAGTGCTGGGTTAACAGTTGGATTCTATGATCTTTTGCAACCTGATTCTATTATTAGCTCCATATAACAGCCAAGGTAATCAAGAAACCGATGGATGAAGCAACTGGCCCAAAGTGTTCCAGAAATTACTGGCGGAAATGGAGCAAGACCCGTGGTGTCCCAAGTCCCAGTCCACTGCTTAAAGTAACAAATAGCCTATTCCCTACCTGCTCTTTAGTTATAAAAAGTGAATTAAATGTGTCCAAGAACCTTTAAGCATCCCTTTCCTTAGTTCAGCAGATTACAGGAGGAGCTTTAAATTTTTATCCCATTTCTTCCCCTGCTTCCTTATTTAGCAGTGTCCTTCCATCATGCTGCATCTTTTCTGAAAGTCTTTTTCCTCCATACTTTATGTCTGCTTTAAACACATTATCCTTTGCTCATACCTCTCACTCTCTCTTTGACTTTTAGGCCAATATAAATGCTGTAAAAGCATTTGGATTCATTATAATTCAGGAAAAAAAACAACTCATTGGAACCTGAAGTACATTTAACAAGCCACATTCAACTTGCTATAAAGTATCATAACTGTCCTCTAACACATTGTTCCTAGTATGGACCTCCATCTTCTGGAGAGATGCTAATTGCTTACAAACTGTATGTTTACTCCTTATTTATAGCACAGTTTACACAAATATTGCAAACACATTCTGCATTTTGACATACAGAGCTCAAAAAAATAACTTACATTAGCTTTACCTTTTTCCATCATATAACAAAAAATTTAAATCAGTTTTTCTTTAGTTGTGTAAAGATTATGCCTTTTTTTTATCCAGTAAGCTTAATTGCAGGACAAAATTAATTCACATTTTTCAATTGTCTTCACAGAGCAAAAAGGTTTAATTAACTTTCTACCATGCCTACATGTTTGTGGGCTGTACAGACTAATGAAAATAAGTTATCATAACTGACAATCACAGTTTGTACTTCATGAATATGCTACCTAGCCATTTCAAGACCACTAATTAAAACTGAAGATCCAACTACACAGAAGATATATTTTGTGAGTTGAGCTCATTCGAAAAACAGGGATTGCCTCCACTGTCAAAGCAGGATATTCCAGAACTCAGCATTCTAATTATGGAAGTTTCTCATAAGCAGAGATCATATTCTTGAGGAGAATTTAGTCATTAGACAGATATTACTGGGTGTGCCTAATGAACAATGTTGCCCAAAAGCAACTGAACTTCCCATAGTTCACAAAATGTCCCTACTTTTTAAGGTCTACGGACAAGAAAGTTTTCCTTGCTTTCTTTATAGTTTCCTTTTATTGCATAATATTGTAAAAGTTACTTTACAATACAGCAGGCACATCTAGCAGGAAGGAATGTAGGGCTCAGTGGTGTAGGACACAATGTACCTGAGGAGTTTCCTTTCAGAAAGGGTAAAATTGTTTTTCTAAGAATATTGCACTATTTAAAAAACTGTGGAGGAAGACTAGGAAACAAAGTTGGTAACAGAGACTTGTGCTATAAGAATTCACAGGACTTCCAGTGCTGTAGTAGTCTCTTTTCCCCATCTATAAGCTCCTGCCATGACTAAGTGCAATTAAGTGTCTGCCTAATGACAGAAGTTTCTTGCAGATGAAGCTTTGAAATGATTTCTATTCCAATGGATGAAGATACTTTTACAATGCTCAGCTGCTTCCATATAAAGGATTAAATTTCACCCATCTTGAGGGGAAATTCTTTCAATGGAAGTCTTAATAGTCTGGCTCCTCAGAAGCTTATGTTCTATTGTACATAATGCATTCATTCTCACAGGGGGCATTCCTTCAGAACACCAGTATCCCAAGGAAAAATGAGAAAACCGCATCCAAAACTTGGAGTACTCAACTGGCACTGGACTGTTCCTTGAGCTGTTCCTCTGTCATGGGCTTTCTGGAAAGTCACTCTCTTTATACAGAGCAGACTCCTTTCAAACCTTCTGTTTCAGAGCTTATAATACATCTTACTAAAGATGCATCATGTGCATCTAATTAAAGACACACAAGTAACACTATTTTGTGAAAGCATTATTCACTGTGGTTTATGTTTCCCACAGTTCCAAATGTTTTCTGTAGAATGTAGTATCAAAACTCCAGAACACTGAGCTATTCCAAAATCACCAAGTATTACAAAGGAAACCATTCAGAGAATGTATGTCATATCAATACATATAACTCGTAGACATCACCCTCTTCACATGAATGATCTAAGAGGTTAAAACAGTTTAAAATGAAAATCAGGATTTCAGGTTGTTCTATTTGCTTATAAAAGATTTTTTTTTCCCTGCAAAACCAGAAGAATTTAATATTAGCTGCAATGTTTCATTCTAAACCCAGCACTTATTTCAAATCCCTACCATTTTTGGGCATGCTTTAAAAATGCTAAAAGTTTGTTTGTTTCCTTTTTTTTTTTTTAAAGAAAAATTAAGGCTAGCACCTCATGAATGAGCACACCTTGTACAGGCCAAATACACAATTGGCTCTCACCGTTTCAAAACGTGCAGTTTTGCCACCAAGTCCTCTGGCAGGCATGGGTGTGAGCACTACTGTGGTATCAATGTTCTTCCTCACACATTCAAGTTCCAACAATCCACATACAACAAACAGAGTTACGAGCTAATTGAAATCCTCTTACATACCTGCCTCCCTCAAAACGATGGATGAGATCTGACACTTTACTGGACTTCTCCCTTGCAACACTGGAAACAGCAGCGGGCGCCTCTTCCTCCATCCTTGGTTTGTGATTTGCTAAAGCTTTATGCCTGGGGGTTTGGTACGTTGCCTTCTGCAGATGAACTGGCTTTGGAGGCACTGCAAACAACAACAACAACAATCACTCATGTTTCTTTGAGCTGCCAGAATACAGAATCATAGAATGGTTTGGGTTGGAAGGGACCTTAAAGATCATCTAGTTCCAAACTCCCTGCCATGGGCAGGGACACCTTCTACGAGATCAGATTACTCTCACATATGAGACTTTTGCATAAGAACCTACTGCAGTAATGAAAAAGGAATGCCCATGGCTTTAATTAACATTAAAGCTGCTTTATGAACACAGGGACTTCATATAGTCCTTTATACACTGTTTGGTATTGGGGATCTTATTACATTTCCTGACTAAAATGTGAACCATATGCTATTTGACAAGTTAGAAAACTAGGAAGTTTTCTAGTTTGTTTGTTTTTATAGTGTATTGTAGTAAATACATAAGTGGCCTCCATAAATGCAGGCTTTATAATAAAAAAGAATTGAGCCCAAAGGACTCAGCTGTACTGTGAAGCTCAAGACAGAGATTTAAATTGCTGCCCCAAAATTCCAGTGCTCTCATTCTTTACCTTATCCCTTGTGACCTCAATAACAATTGTCAATGGAAAAGGTATTTGCCTTCAGCTTTAAACTTCCTTTACTCACTGAACCTTTGTCTAATTATACTGCTGAAAACCTTCCCCCCTGAAAATACTTTTTATTTTTCTTGCTTTTTCCCCCTCCTTTCCATAAGTCCTTCTAATTAGATTGTTAATGATCAGTCACTGTTTAATAAAGCAGTGACTAGAGCACAAAAGACAAGGTGACACATAAAGCAACTAAAGTCACACGTACCAAAGATCTTTAAATTAACTTTTATCCCTTTAAGCAATTATGCAGCATTTGTGGGCAGCAAAAGCACATCACAGACTGGGCCCAAATGTGTTCCACTATTGGAGTAATGCACGTCCAGCTCCATCAAGAAGAGAGACTTAAAGGAAAGGTCCTTAATTCCCAAAAACACAACTCTGTTCAATCCCACACATATTCCCAAAACATACTGTGATGGAAGTGAAACCATTTGATATGAAATTGAAAAAAGATTTATTAAAAGGCAGGCATAAATTGGCAAGAGTAGGTAATGCCCTGCCAGTAGAACCAGTGGCCCCAGGGGCTTGGCCACTGCTCCACAGACAACCCATTCCAGCGTGCCACAGGCACTGGCCCTCCAGCAACTACAAAGACCTGCCAGGGAGCAACCATGAAGGGAAAGAGCACAGGAGTCAGCATTAGGAGTCATGTGCCATTCTCATGGTAGAAAAAAAAAAAAAAAAGGCATCAGTACAGGGTACACAATAGATGGATATGAAAAAAACATGTTCTTCACATCGCTGGCTTTAGGATAGCTTACTAACTTACCCTGGAAAATCCATGCACCACAGGAATGAGCTTACCTCCCATCAACTGACAATTGAAAGGAGTGTTGAAAAAATTCTTGCAAATATACTAATCATAGACTATGACATTCAAGTGTTTCTTGCAGTTTAAGGGCAATTTTCCATCTCTACCTTACGTTAAATTTATAGGAAGTAATATTTGTGTTTCCAAGAATGTAATTGCACTTAAGTGGGATTGTAGTGATTGCTGCAGTCTGAAAAGTACCATGAGAGAATCTATAAAGAAACAAATTTACCACAAAAAGCTTTAGACTTCAATCATATCAATTACAAATGCAGATAAATGAAATAATCAGAGGGAGAAGGAAGACAATTACTGCAGATCAGATGCTTTTGCTGTGCATATGTGCATACTTGGTTCTTGGAAGCTTTATATTTATTAACACAAGCAAGAAAAGCGAGTTCGTGGGGGATGCAGTACAGAAAGATGACTCAATCACTTTTGAAATAGTTATAATGCAACCCTGAAACAAGCAGACTATTAAATTGTGTAACTGCTTCAGTATCTGTAGTAACCGAAGTCCCTCCTGAGAAGCCGCATGCAATCGCTCAGCTGCAGTGCAGTGGAGTAGCTTTCCCTACGTTCCCTCTTCTCAGGGAGTTCGGAAAAGGTCTGGCAGAATTAGGCCAATGAGCATCAGATAATTGTCCAAGCACTGAATAGCTTGCTGTGCTGACAAAGGCAAGGGGACAGCGGAAAAAGGTGACACGAGCAGGCTGGGAAAAAGCAGGACACATAATTGAGCGTAAGCGCTGCCATTCCCTCAGGGGGGAGATGGACAGGAAAGGGGTCACCGAGTGGATTTGCTGACCAGCACCACATGAGTTTGTAGGAACACTTCTTGCTCTCGCAGTGGACTTTGTATAACCCCCATTCCTGTGAAATCTCTTATGTAATGGACCCGTGCATCTCTTCAATTCTTTTGTACATCTCATAAAATGTTAATATCCTCACAAGGATATATTAAAACTACTGAACTATAGGGAATTAATGTCTACTGATAAAGCAGAAGGAATTAGTTGGAAGTTATTTTTATACTGGGTCCACAGGGACAAAAATCAAATTCTAGGACATTCTGTGGAGGTGTCACACACTTTTGCAGCTATTACTGAAAAACCACAGCTTAGCAGCATTTACGTAGGGCAAGCATGAGGAACCTCTGGGCAAACTGGGCAAACCCCGCATACTGAAAATCCCCGTAATATCTTCAGAAGAGAACAACAAACCTAATAGCCATACCGACTCATTTATGCAAGATTTTTCATGCTTTACTTCCTACTAGCATCTAAGAGAGAGCATTTCCCCTAATCAGCTGCTGCTGTAGCTACTGTATGGTTTAGAAATAGAGCAATGGAGAAAGAATAGTCACAAGATCAATGGAAAGAAAAGAATCAGTAGCGTAAAAAAAACCTCAACCCTCAAACCTTCCTGTAAGGTCAGCCTTGTTAACAGGGATTATGGAAAATAAATTCCATTAACTCTCCCCTCAATGTACTTCTGCAGTGTTTTGTTTTAATCAGATTATTTTTCAACGTGCATACAGCAAGGATCTTAAGAGAAAGAAAAAAAAAAAAAAGAAAAGACTGGCCCATTGTAGTAACCTGCATAATACAGAGCTCTGTTTGAGTCTATAAATACTCTTGTCTCCATACTGTAGAATTTTGAGCTCATTAGGAGACATGAACTGCCCATTCTGCTCAAAGAAAACCCCTCCATGTTCTCAGGTAGCTGGCACTGTATACCACTAGCCATAATCAACATTTATGCTGCAGTGCCTAGCTGTGCATTCAACTTTGCACAAATGCATAAGGAAATGGGAGATAATGCTACAAATGGCTCAAAAGGCACAACCACCTTTGCAGACTCCAAAGCATATTAGACAAGGTCATTTATCTCTTTCCTTGGAAAGCATCACGTGTTCAATCTCCATCCATGTGTTTAACTCACAATGGCTAAAAATGCTACCGTGCCTTGACTCCATGAAAATACACTTAAAAGTTCCTGGGGCAAACAACTATAGCTCTCCTGGTTGAGTCATCCATCATCACCTCCTTGCATGCTTCATCACCTTCAAGAAGATCAAACAAGCACAGCTGGATAGATGCCAAAGATTTACACTCTTAAGAGCAGTATGAAATAACTAGTAACCTAGACTCAGTAGAAAGAGAGAAAAAATATCTTCCAATATTGTATTAAGAAAGATGACCAATATTAATCAGATGTACTTTGTTCTCTCATTTGTCTTCTTCCCAGAGATAATATTTGGGATTTGGCAGTTTTGCTGATAAAAGAGACTTTGTAACAGGTTTCTTAAAGCACCACTGAGAGTGAAGCCCACTTAGCAACAGCTCTCAGCTTTAGTTCAATTCACCATTAACTGTACAAGTTTGCTAGAGAAGCACAGTCTACCTTTCAGACTTTTAAGAGTTTTCTCAGCTTTTTTAGGCCCAAGCCACTGAACATTTTCAAAACCACAGAATATATTATAATTAACTGAGAAAGGAAGACAGGACTGATGCTACACAGCAGACAGTCAGCTAAAACTGACTGCTGAAGTCTATGTGCTGAATGTGTTGTGTCCTCATCATTTCACAGTAGCACAAACCAGCTTGTCTTTTGGAGTGGAAATTCATCTCCAACCCAAACAAAAATGCCTCTTCAGCCTCAGCAGGAGATTCATAAGAACTGCTAAGCTCTCATTAGAAAAATTTAAATGAGCAACTGATGCACAGTCTTGAACTGACAAGACAGTTCACTGCTTTGAAGAAGTGTTGACATTTCAATATATTTTGCATCCTACAATAAAGCTGCCCGGTACAGACAACAGCTTCGGTGCCCAGTATTTAGTAACTGGGCATCACAAAAAAACTCAAGCAAGAGGTTCAAAAAGCAAGGAATAGAAGAAACTTTTTTCTTTTTAAAAAAGAAAAAGGTCAATTTTTACATGCCATTCTACGTGCATTCTGCTACTGCTAGCTTCAGATGACTGCCTGACTATTTGTAGGTACGGGCACGTTTCAAATTATTTAACAATTTGCTTCCTCTCTCACGCATCATCTTCGTCTTGGAACCTGGTAGCATATTTTGCTATTTCCACTGATTATCTCCAGTCTGGATTAGTCTACTCTGTCAGAGAATGCAGTGCACTGGTGCAAAGGCAAAGCATCAGGTTCCACAGCCAGTACAGACTGTGACTGCTTTGCTCCACAGTCCTGATTTCTTTGCTTAACTCCCTCATCGGCCTTCAGCCAGTTTCAGGCTTTGTTCCAAATTTGCAAGGATTTTCACGAACCAAACTGTACTCAGGACAGAAATCTGACATATGAATTGCTAAACTGTTGATGGAAGGAACAAAAATTGGTGGAAGGAATTACTGGAGAACAAAATTGTTCTTTACTGCCAATGTATCAGACAGATTTTTTTTTTTCTCACTGAAGTGCCAGGGTAATAAATGAAAATGAAAAGAAAGAATTTTATATTGGATTCTGTGCAGAAATTTATTCACTTGACCTAGCTACCCTAAGTGAACTGTTTCCAGATATTTAAACTACTTCTCAGAGACCAAGTACAGACAAAACAGGGTTCCCTTCAAGTGCAAGATTTTGGACCTTTTTCCTCTATATTAAAGCTCTATTTCCTCTAAAACTAAGTTTACTGAAGGTAGCTGTACCCTACTTGCAACAAAACCTCAAAGTAATTTTTTATCTCTCTCATTTTAATTATATGCATTCCAGTAGGTTAAATGGAGGTCATTTTGCAGTTAGTTCATCCACAATCAAATATACTGGCATTACAATTCAGGTCTGTCATCTTGTTTCCTCTCACTATGAAAGGACATTTCGTATTTGCATGACTAGAACAACAATTTGGAAGAACATTTCCTACTGCTATAAACCAAAAATATTTCTGTACCTGTGCATGAAAAGCTCTTTAAAAAAAATATAGTGACCACTTTTAAACCAATAAACTAGAACAATCTAGTCTGCTTACATCATTTGGACTCCCAAATACTTCTCTCATTAATTATATTCTGGTTTGCTTGAATTCAATTAAAAGCAAAAAAAAGATATACTATAAAACTTCAATCTGATGCACACATTTAATAGGAATAAATGGAGCAAGACATAGGCTCATGAACAAAGCAGACACAAAATACCATTTAAAACAGTATTATTAAATATAATCTACGCAGCTCAATTTCTTAGACTACAGCACTATTCCTGGCTGTGGCACAACTTGGAGTAAACAGTATTGACAAACACAGAAGTCATGGCTATGGAAGAGCAACAACAGCTGCATAACTACTTGAATGAATGGGGTCTGATAATATAAAACTCCTAATTTATCTAATGGCTAGAATTTGTAATAAGTGTGCTGGCTTTGTTTTCGAAAGGCTTAAAATCTTTTTATTGATTGCCCATTTCTATTTATCCATTAGCAGATTTCTAAAATATTTTTCTTAGGAAGAACACATGTTCTCTTGTTAACTTTGCTGCGGAGAATTTGTTTCAGAGACATAGGAAATGGTGCAGAAAGGCTACTCAGATAAGTAATGTTTATACATAACTGGCAAAAACATCTTAGTTTACTGAACAATACTGGCAAAAGTTCTATAAAAATGAACTACACCAAAAAATAACACCTTTATTTTTCTCTCATTCTCCTGAAGTAAACAAAACTTTCTTGACACCTCAAAAAATTGCTTCCCTCCTTAACTCTAGGATGAACTCAGGACTGATGCAAAATCCTTCAAGATGCATTTTCCCATTAAGTGATACACAGATTGTTGTATCCACTACAAAATGACCCTGTGTGATTCTAGTTTCTATATGTGATTTAGATGGGCTCCAGTGTATTTGGTTTGCATGGCCAGGTTTCGGTAGCTGTGGAGGCCACAGGGGTGGCTTCTGTGAGAAGCTGTCAGAAGCTTCCCCCACGTCCAACAGAGCCAATACCAGCCAATACTCCAGGACAGACCCGCTGGCCAAGGCCAAGTCAATCCGAGAAGGTGGTGGCACGTCTGTGATAACATACTGAAGAAGGAAAGAAGAGTTATTGCACAGATGTAATGGCTCTCAGAGAAGAAAGGAGTGAGAATATGTGAGAGGAACAACCCTGCAGACACCAAGGCTAGTGAAGAAGGAGGGAGAGGAGGCACTCCAGGCACCGGAACTGAGATTCCTGCTCAGCTCGTGGTGCAGATCATGGTGAAGCAGCCGTCCCCCTGCAGCCCATGGAGGTCAGTGGGGGTGCAGAAATCCACCTGCAGTTCATGGAGGAGACCCACACTGGGGCAGGTGGATGCCCAAAAGAAGGCTGTGACCCCATGGGAAGCCTGTGCTGAAGCAGGACCTGAGGGCCCGTGAGGAAAGAAGCCCTTGCTAGAACAGCTTTGCTGGTAGGACTTGTGGCCCTGTGGGGCACCCATGCTGGAGCAGCCTATTCTTGAAGGACTACACCCCATGCAATGTTGGAGCAGTTCATGAAGAACTGTAGCCCATGGGAAGGACTCACAAGGGAGAAGTTCAAGGAGAACTATCTCCTGTGGGAGGGACCCCCACACTGGAGCAGGGGAAGGACTCCTCTCCCTGAGCAGCAGCAGAAGCAACATGTGATGAACTGACCATAACCTCCATTCCCATCTCCTGCACTGCTGGGGGAAGGAGGCAGAGCCCAGGAATGAGGGAAGGGGGGGGGAAGGTGTTTTTAAGTCTTGGTTTACTTATCGTCATCCTGCTCTGATTTTGACTGGTAATAAATTCAATTAATATCCCCAAGTCAAGTCTGTTTTGCCCATTGTGGTAATCAGTTTGTGATCTCTCCCTGCCCTTATCTCAACTCATGAGTCTTTTGTTGTATTTTCTCTACTCTGTCCAGGGGTACAGGGGAGAGTGATAGAGTGGCTTTGGTGGGTACCTGGCATCCAGCCAGGGTCAAACTACCATATCTAGTTTTCTATAAGTAATTCTTGTTTCTGTTGTATCAGCACTGTGTCTCAGAATCCAATTCCCTGAACAGCATCATGATATTAGTCTTCTAAACTCACTCTTTTTCTTTTAACTTTTAGGATGAACAAAGTTCCTATTGCATGTCACTTCTAAAAGACATCAGTCCAGAGCTGCTTTGAATTCAAGATTTCTGGAATGCAGTGACTCTGTTACGATCAACTTCAGCAGAATCATTGATATTACCAAGAAGACCACAAAAAAGGATGGTTTGTGGTGGTTTGAATCAATATATATATTGTCTTTATATCTATATATACAAAGTATATATAGATATTTATACATATATATATATATATATAAAATATGCACATATAAAGTATTTATATATACATAGGTTGACCTATGTAGCTTTTAAAAGATACATACTTATGGACAGAAACAGGTTAAGAAGGGACATTTACTTCTACTCTGCATACATTATTGGTCAGCATTTACTGCACGAACATGGAGTTCCCATCTTTCCACAAACTCCTGCAGAGCTAGAACTCCAGAGGTCCTGAATATCCTCCTCACCAATCCTGCCCCAAAGCCGGTCTGTCAAATGCTCCAATTCAAAAATAGTGCCAAAACCTCCCAGCTCCAATGCAGCAATACTTTTGAAAAATAAGTCAGAAATTACAGAATCATAAGGCATTTACAGAACATTTGTATTTCAATAACAAGCTTTTACCCTACGGTTTTCCTTCTGACAAATACAGTTCTTTCAAGGTGCTCTGTTTCTCTCAGAAGTCTGAGATGAAGAACAACTTTCGTAACAAAAATATTTGAGACTACTTACCTTGTGGCTTTGGATTTGAAGCTGAACGTGGGGATTGTTTGACTGGCACGCTTCCATTTATTCCCTGAGCCGCTTCATTGCGTACATTCTGCTCAACTAGTCTGGTTGTGGCACTCGCTGTACAAGTTCTAGACAATATTAAGGACTTTGGACAGATGCTGCTGCCTGAAAAATACACACAAAAAACCTGAGAGTAAGAAACAGGATTAAATATAGGATATAACGAATACAAACACATTTATTAGAGTGCTAACACTTCTCTACAGAGAAAATTAAAATATTCATCTTCCTTTTAAGGGTGTCTCATCCTAAAAACACATTTTACCTTTCACTGAAATTTATTATGTGGTTTAAACCTTGAAGAGGTTTTAAACAATATTTGGATATTAAAAAATACTTCCACCATGACTAGCCTAAGTTCTTCTAGAGGAAGATTACAATCTCCAACAGAGAGATTTTTTCTTATCTGAATTGTCAATGAGCTTGTTCAACAGAACTGTAGAAAACCCAGCATTTTTGTTTGGCTATTCTACTTCTGCATTCCAAGTCTGCACAAAATGCTATACATTCAAAATTTTATTTTATTAATGATGGTAGGATCCAAAATTATGCAATTTTTGTTGGTAGGAAAAGGCTCCTGTTTTAAGTATTACGGAAAAAAAATAGAGCAAAGCACAAATCCAGCCAACTCTTTCCTAGCAGGATGGAATTTATTCCAATTAATAGGATCTGAAGAAATCTGCTATTGGTAAGAAATCTGGAAGAAAACATAAAGGAAGGCATATTCAAACAATAGAAACTGTCATAAAAGCACTTATTAGAATGTGATTACTGAAGTCGGTTGCTTTGGAGTGTGAAAGCAATTGGTTCCCTAAACACAACCAAAAACTTCAAATAATAATATGAAGGACCTTGAGATGTCACTTAGGTCAACATTCATTCAACTCTGAATCAAAAAAAATCCACAACTTTTTTTGTGGGAGGAACAAGGGAAAGGAAGAAAGCCCACTGTTGTCATAATTATTTTCATTTAAAAACATTATTAGGGTAAATGTTGGGCACCTCAATTTATTGCTATTATTTGCCACCATTTTACCTTTTCTTGGCTTTACTGGGGTTTTCTTTGCACATTTCTATAAAAGACAAATCCAAAACTCACTTAACCGTTCCATGAGTTGATCCTCTGATGCCTTCTGAACAACTGGTCTGCAGAGTTTGGACACTCCGATCTAATCCAACTCCCTCTCCCATGGCAAAATCCACCATATCAAGCCATTCCTAGCCAAGCCTGTTCTTTGTATAGCAATGGAAAGAGACACCATAGCTATTGCTCTGTGCTACTCAGTGATTCTTCAGCCTTCTGTGGATTCCAACAATATTTTTGAGTATTTATTCTTTACTTCTTAGAAGCTTATTTTTCCTATTAAGCACTGAGGTACACCCAGAGGCTGCCTCTACAAACATGGAGGCTTGCAGAGGTCCATGGTGAGGTCAGCAATCCATACTAAAAAAGCACCAGTACTTGGATGACAATTCATGCACAACATCCACAGTTGCAACATGGCATTTTCCCTCTTCCATTTCATTCGGTTAGCAAGGGATCTTCCAGGAACATAAGGATGGCTACTTCCAGAATGATGAGGATAATCTAGCAAGGTCCAGCATGTACAGAAACTTTTCAGACATCTGCAATCTGAGGCAGAAATTCCTCTTTCCTTGGGTATCACCCCCATACACAAAAAGTCGTATTGTACTACAGCAGTGGGAGCTCTGTCCCACATCATTCCTCAATGCCTAAGAAGGTATTTTCAGTGCCATATCTGTCTCCCCTATGGAGGCAGGAGTACTGGAAGCTCTGAGAAAGACCAAGGTGATGATACAGAGAGTTGCACCAGCAAGTTTTCCTGGTCTCCATCAAAGAGCTGACAGGCTGAATTTCCCTTTCCCACAGAGTCCCATACCATACTGTAGCAGTTTACACTCTAATTGAGGAATCCTAAATTCAGAAACTCATTTAAGAAGAGTAACTCCTGTGGGATCGGTACGATGCACAAATTGGGTAGGCAATTGCACGTAATTTATAAATCTACATTCAGATCACACTTATAACTTTGCAATGAGGGTGAAAGCGTGACGTCTTAGACCTTTCTGAAAACTAATTTGCTTGCATATTTGACATCTAATGTGCTCCAAAATCTCCAGCTCCCAGAGTGCAGCTCAATAAGGGGCACAGCTGCTGTCAACTGCTCAGGCCAAGGTTAAAAATGTCCATCCAAGTGGTACTTTATTTGTTAAAAGGATTTCCTAACGAAACGAGAAACTTCTGGGGTCAGAATAGGAACTTATTTTACACACACAACTTTATCAAGCTGCTTACTCCCATTTAAGGTTATCGCTCACAATCACTTTAAGCCGAGGCTGTTGCAGAGCTGCTGCTGAGAACAGGCTACTCTGTGGTCAGCCACTTGTCCTCCCCTCCTTGTCGCCTTCTGCTCCAGCTTCTGCTTCTGGCTACTCCTTCCCCTGTGCCAGCAGCAGCAGCATTTCAGCCACACAGTGAGATGAAGAGTAGAAACAATGCAGCTGAAATCTGGACTATATTTTGGGTCGGTTTAACCTCACAGTCACCCCAGCATTGCTGCTCACACACAGGAACAGCCAGGAATATGGCTGGGGAGGGACAGGACAGCTCCTCTCAGCAGCAGCCCTTACTTAGATCTGCCTGATGAGATAATTTAAATGCAACTCCAGTTCCTCAAGCAGATATTTAGACCTCAATTCCACTTGGTTTACAGGTGCACACACACAGCCTTAACACAAAGTCCAGCAAAACCAGAACAGCTGAAAACAAACCTTTGATGCAAAAACATTAGAAGGCCTTAAGAATCAGTTTTGTCAGCATCACATATCCCCACTAGACTTGGTAATATTAGTTCCATTCAGTGGGTAAAAGCCATTTTGTAAAGCTTGTGCACTGTAATACAAAACTGTAACACAAGCAACAGAAAGAGTGCTTCTCTGTAAGGGGATCTTTTGCAACTGCTTACAGAAAACAAAAGCTTCAAGAGGTGTTATGACCTGAGACCTGCTCTGGCTTCACACCAACAACTCAGCACATGGGGGTGTGGGGAAACAGGAAATTTTCAAATTAATTATTGTTGTACAAGCCATTAAACATATTACCCATCCTCTCTGGAAGCCATATTTTCTGGAGATGGACACGTTGCAGACATTTAACATATACTTCAAGCTAGTGATTCTGTTAATAGTGTCACATCTTCAAGCCATGTAAAGCTCGAATGGAAAAAGATAATGGAAATCTAGCCAGAGCATACTTCTATGCAAAACTGAGCAGTCAAATTCTCTGGACAAAAAGCATCATTTAACATCTGTGCAAGTCTGAGCCCTGGTTTCTTTACAGTGAACAATATCACCCTCCAGGTGACGTAGACAAGAAAATTGTGGCAGAAATACAAACTCCTGGTGAAAATTCCTGTATCTAGTGTATTGTATGCAAGTGTATTATAAGGCCATAATACATTTTGTTATAACAAAAGCCCAAACCATGTAAAATTCTGCCAATTACAAAATGCCAAATACTTGCTCCACAATCAGCAGCATACACTGCAGGAGGGCTTCTCGATTCTCTCCACCTGAGTAAGGAGTTACACAGTCTACCTTTACAAAATACAGTCGTTGCCCTGTAAATAGAACATAAAATCCCATTTGATTTGCAAAAAGGCAGACATGCTGCAAAAACCTGCAGCTTTTACTGGGCTAAAGTAAATTCCCATTATGATTATTTCTGACCTGGTTAAAGAAGCACTTGCATATTTCTTCTATTCCTATGCATTATAACAACTGAGAAATTTCACCTGAGGTCAGAAGTGCAATGCACAACAAAATACTACCACCCATTTACTGTGTTGACTAGTACATGATTAATACCCCCATCTTGTAATCAAGAATGACTAAATACGCTGAAGAGGAGAGAAAGGGGGGAAAAAACTCAAGTAAATTTAAAATGGGGGCAGGCAAGAACGTAAGAGAAAGAGAGGTAATAAATAACTAACAGAAAAGAGAAATAAACACTGCAAACTTGATAAGCACTTAATTATTTTCCTTATCATTTGTGAGGAAATGAGAAGCTAGAATGCTTACAAACACGCTTGCATCTGCAAGAATGTTTGAAGCTAGGTAATGCATTATCTATTTTTTCACAGCATTCCAATTAGAAATAACTTGTAGCCATGAACATTTAGACAAACAATCAGCCAGCTTGAAATGCCAGTAACATGAGAAAATGGCTTATTTATATTCACAAAGGTTACACTAATGTTTTAGTATTGGATAGATCCTTCATCAGCAGTTTCATAAACCAGTCTCAACACCATTAAGTCTTCTGTTATATTTATTTTTATTCCCACTTATAAGCACACAGCACATCTATACTGTTCCAGCACTGTCTAATTTTACTGCCATTGTGATCCCTCTTCTGATCATACATTCTGAATGAAAGAAATCCAGTATTTCTGGATGTAAACAAAGTCTACAGGAAAAGGATTTGTCTCTTGCACCAAGAGAAAATTCAAGTATCAAAATTACTTCTCTTAAAATTATACAGTTAGGTATACCTTGTGTTAAGTCCCAAAACACCTGCCATAATGTCTGTGGTCTTGATGTTCTACTGCTACATCTTTTCATGTAACATCAATACAAAGCTTTATGCTTCCTATCCATCCCTGGGCATAGGTGGGGGTTCAGCTAATACACTCTCTACCAAAGTACTGGTTCAGGCACAGTAACCAAGCCATACAATCTCCTGATCAGCTCAGGAGAGTGTTAAGTAGCATTGACCCTTTCAGAGGTGAATTCAGCCCATCCACTTACTCACCAAACACTACAGGAGTTGTAACAAGGAACAGAACAAGAGTGAGCAACAGCTTCCTGACCACAAACAAGAAGGCAGAAAGTGACCTCTCACCCATGCAGTTATATCTCCACATGTGTTGAGGCCTGAGCAGGAAATGCAGTACACTGAGTCACAAATTTTGCCCACAGTTGTGCTCAAACCTGCCCTCAAAACTAAGTTTCTATTAACTAGGTACCTACCCTTCATTGGTTTATCCTTTTTGTGAGAGGACCCAACATGCTACTAAGATGCT